ATTATTAATATTCATCCTTTAACCTATCTACTTTTACAGAAAGATGAAATGTCAAATACGTGTAGAATAGTATGGATTTTTAATACGATGCGTGAATTTATATATTTTATGTCTCTACGTTATTTTGTATTTTTCGCCTTAAAGAACATAAAGTGAAATCCGCGAAAAATGCTAAGAACCCCACTCAATTGGCAGATAAAAATAGAATTAAAACCAAAAGAATAACAATAATAATGAATCATTTTTACTATGGTACTGGTATGCATTCACAGTACATGTCCCATAGATTTATTAATTACAAATATCCACTTACGTTTCGTCAAAATTTTAAATTGAACTGTATTACCATACGTAAATATAAATCAGTTATCAGTCATTATTATACAAATTTTATATTAACAATCTATTATTTTTTCACAAGCTTTTATATTACAAAAAATTTAAACATTTAAGAATAAAGTTCGAAAGACAGCTGAAACAATGCTATGCGTACATTTTTTTAAGTCTATTCTGGAAGGAGACTTTAAATCCAATCATAAGTTCATGAAGGTTTTTCACATTATAGGTAATGGTAGGGGACCACAAGCGGGGATTTTATTATTAGCGCGGCAAAATAACAAACCTTGCACCCTGTGAAGTACTTCCACCATACCCAAGCTCTCTATGTGGGGCCAAACGTCAAAAAACATATATTATATAAAAAATATAAAATTTATATTTTAACAATCGGCCATGACTTTTGGTCTCATGCGGAAGGTACGTTAAGCCGTTGGTCCCAGCTGCATCTGTAGTCGTTAGCACCCACCATTCCGCACTAGGCCCGCGCGGTGGCTCACGGCCCAATCTCCCTATTTCATCCATAGGGAAAGCCTGTACCGCAACAGTGGGGACATTAGTAGGCAGGTGATGATGATGTTTTATACCCCACTAAAGGATTAACCCCACGTATTATCTCACGTATAATTATCGATTCGATACCTTCATTGCTGGAGCAAAGACCATTTCCTATGTAGACCAGAGTCGATAATTTTTAAGACCAAAAAAAAATTTAGTAGGATGAAACCCATTGGAAAAGGTAGATAATATAACAAAAATGAAAGGAAAAATAAATTTCGGGCGATCTGAGGTCGGGAAGGGGGAGGGGGTGAGTTTTTAAGGGTAAAAAACGGTTAATTTTGATTTCCGGTAAAACTGCAAGTCCTATGAAAAAAAGTTAAAAGGCAAAGTTGTGGGTAATAAAAAGATCTACAACTTATGTATCGACACTTTTTTCACATAACCTTAAAATTTGTGTGAAAAATTCGAATAACCGAGTTTAACACTAATTTTTGATTTAAAATATTCATTTTTTCACCATATTTTGACTTAATTTCGAAAAAGCACCCTAATTTTCAATCGAAAATTCTCAGGTCAAAATATCTGCTTTTTTTAAAAAGTTGGTGTGTTTTTTGTTTGTTGAAATCTCTACTTTCTGATGGTATAAAAATATACACTACTATGGTAAATGTTCTCAGAAACTGCAAATTAATAAAAAAAAAACTCAATCCGATTTTTTTTAATCATTATGTATAATTTTGAGCTACTTATTAAAATTTACACTTTAATTACTCGAATAACGTAAGATTTCATGTTATATTGATAAACAAAAAAAATGCTAATCGAGATATACTACTATAGAATAGAATAGAATAGAATGGAATAGAATGGAATAGAATGGAATAGAATGGAATGGAATGGAATGGAATGGAATGGAATGGAATGGAATGGAATGGAATGGAATGGAATGGAATGGAATAGAATGGAATAGAATGGAATAGAATGGAATAGAATGGAATAGAATGGAATAGAATGGAATAGAATGGAATAGAATGGAATAGAATGGAATAGAATGGAATAGAATGGAATAGAATGGAATAGAATGGAATAGAATGGAATAGAATAGAATAGAATATATTTTATTAACCCTCATATTACAGATATTACACATTTACAGATACAAATTCAAAAAACACAGGGCTAACCAGGACTGTCTCAGCATTTAAAAAAAATGGATGCGTGTAACTTATGTACGCGCGTGAGAAGTTATACTTCTTTAGCATCATTAAAAATATTTTTTAATTGAATGCAAATAATTAATAATTACAATAAAATAATAAAAGGACTGGAAAAGGATAGTTAACACAGTCAATTAAGTTCAGTTGTAATTTGAAAAATTAAATAAATAATCAAAATATGCAATTAAAATCACTACTGAATTTAAGTTATTAGTCCATATGTAATTAGCACTTGTAAGTAACTAAAACACGTTGTGTCTATACAGAAACTAGAAACATGTGGATAAATATTATAAATATGAAAACAGTGATCAGAGGCGACGAGCGTGCCAACATTGTTTTTGACAACGCGATCATTTTATGGAGCTCCGTGGATCGTTCAAAGTACCTTTCGAACAGATGTCTAATAATGGTGGATTATTAACCACTTAGTGGTTACTTAGTGGTAACTAAGTGGTTAATAATCCACCATTATTAGACACTAACATTCATAACGCGCCCGCAGCCAACTTCATGGTGTTACTATTGTGTTACAGTGATGCGCGCGCATCTCGAAATTTCACTCACATGATTTTTTCATAACGCGCCCGCGGCCAACTTCATGCTGTTACTTTTGGGTTACAGTGATGCGCGCGCATCTAAAAATTTCACTCTCATCATTTTTTCATAACGCGCCTAAAGAAGTATAACTTCAAAAACCAAAAACTCGGTTATTCGAATTTTTCACATAAATTTTGAGGTTATGTGAAAAAAGTGTCGATACAAAAGTTTTAGATCTTTTTATTACCTACAACTTTGCCATTTAACTTTTTTTCTTAGGACTTGCAGTTTTACCGGAAATCGAGTTTATCCGTTTTTTACCCTTAAAAACTCACCCCCCCTCTCCCTTCCCGACCTCAGATCGCCAGTAATTTATTTTTCCTTTCATTTTTGTTATATTCTCTACCTTTTCCAAAGGGTTTCATCCTACTATATTTTTTTTCACTATTTCCATTTTTTAAATTATCGATCCTGGTCTAATGGCCCTAGAGTTAAAATCAGGTACAGTGCATTAGCATTCATATTTTTGCTTAGTTCTAATGTATACTAAATGTCCTTGATATGTTTCTGTCGTGAACTCCCTATTTTCATATTATATCTCTATTGCAAACTTACCACATTTTCAAACACTTCTCAGGAATTTTGTAGAATTCCTAGGAAATGGATAAATTTATATTTTGCATTTAATTTTCAAAAACATGTAGGCTTATATTACATGTGCTATAAACGGACGAATTATGCACATTTCCAATGAACTATACTATACCCATAAAATTACCTATCTTTATTACCTTTTTAGTGGTAAATTTAGTGTCGTTTCTTTCAGTAAACGACCTTCGCTTCGGTGTGATTACCGTCCTGCCTTTTACTTACAGTGTGTATTTACTGTGTAGTAATAAAGAATAAAAACATGACATGATAGACACGAGTGTCATTTTTCTCTTGAAACTCATGATGCTTCTTAGTACCTGTTTAGTACGAAAAAATATCATGCAGCTCTGAGTGAACACAGAAAATAAAGTTAAGTCTGTGCTTAAAAAATAGATTTATTATAAGATTATTTTTGTAATTTTAAATTATGGAACCATACAAAAGTGACGAAGAAATTAAATCAAAATTATTCTCGCCTGTTGTTAATTTTTACACGGGAAAGTCTGTGTTCATAACTGGTGCTACAGGATTTCTTGGAACGGTAAGCAAACACGTGTTAAGGTTAATCACAATCGCTGCTGGAAATCTTCATAAATTGATTAATTAATTAGCCTTGTTTAATAACTTTTAGCAATTTCAAATTTTATTTTCATAGTGTTTCATTTTATTTAGAATTTAACGATGTGTGTAATTTCTGAGTTAAATTAACAAATTCATAGAATAAAACAAGATAAATTTTTATTTGTGTTAATGTTTTCATAAAGAGTTTTCTACGAAGCTAATATATTATTCTACGTTGCTAAAAGATAAATTGAACAATTGCGACATGAGATGTTTTTGTTAAAAAGTTGTTGAAAGTTGCTTAATATTACAATATTTTGACCCATGACCACTCGTAGTACGCTAAGTTTATCGCGTCCGGTCGCTTGGAATATATTTGGTTTTAATATTTTACAATCATTTTGTGCATTTCAATAACTGAAACATAAAACGTCGAATGAAATATCAGTTTCTTTCATATTTCAATGGCCCTTCAGCCATGAACAAATTTTATCTTACGATAATTTTACCAGAAAACATTAAACTCGGACAAGGTATCGGATATTTTCTCGTAACATTTTACTTTAGATACTTTACTAGCTAAGTAGTTTAGTGCCTAAATAATAATATATCAAAAAATTAACTCCACAAACTTTTATTTCGTGAGTAATTAAATTTATTTTGAATATTTACTGAATAAAAATATCAAATGATGAAATTTAAATTTGTCTTTCAAAAATTATTTACCTAAACAAACAAATTCCAAAAGGATTCATTGTAATGTGAATGTCTGGTTTCTGATATTGTATTTTTATCTGTGACAAAAGTCCCCATTCATGGTGCAAACGAAACCAATCAGTTTCATCTGCACGATTAATGGTACAAATAAATCTTATGTAATTTTCTTAACATTTCATGTCATTATTAATAATTGAGGAGCTGCCGAACGAAACGGTATAATTAGATAAAATCAAAATTTTCAGGAGCTGTATAAAACTAAATGACATACGTATAGTGAGCTGTTGGTATTATTTTTAATTTATAAATTTAGTTATTTTAACACTTTTTTAGATGGTTTTGATTGAACAATTATTTGAGATTAAAATTTAACGGGCCCGAAACCTCCGGACTGTAAAAAAAGTAGTTTGACCAGATGCGTAATTATACCGTTTTGTTCGCCAGCTCCTCAATTGTAAGGTCTTATTTAATTTGCAGGTTTTACTTGAGAAATTGATGTTCACGTGTGCGCATAATATAAAAAATATTTACATACTAATAAAACCTACGGATGGGCAGAGTATCGACGAAAAAATGTCAAAATTCTTTGATTCAAGGGTATGTTGCGTATCGTTGTAATTAAAATCATAACCATTGACTTTAGTACTATTCTGTAATAGGAAAACTTAGTGGTTAAGTGTGTTTATCAAAGATCACAAGGATCAGCTTGACTAACGTTTAACTTGATTTTGGGAAATGACGGTAAGCTTGTCATACATAGTCTCTAATGATTTATCGACCAAATAGATTGGCTGCTGGAAATCATAGAAGTAACTAACAGCAACGGTAACCAAATGGTTCATATATTTAGGGTCGCTGCACACGGACCACCGGTCGCAACCACAAAACCCCGCTACCGGCATATTTCCTGTAGTTTTTATACATTTTATATGGACTCGCCGCAACGGATAACGCCGGTGGCCGCCACACGCTATAAATTGTCGTTGCTCGCTTCTTGTGGCGCGCACCGGCCACTAATGCGCCAATACAAAACGCCGCCACACGCCACTCGCGCGATTTGTGGTTGTGGTCGGTGGCCCGTGTGCGGCGACACATAGATACCTCTCATTACTCCGTCATTTGTTTTCTGTGTAATCAAAGAACAACAAGTCTTTTTCAAATTTCTCTCTTTTTTGGTAATCTAGATGCAACTCAAATTTATTAGATACTTTCCAATCTTATGAAAAATGCCGAAAATCACCTGCACCAACTATTCCACATGTAGGTATACAAGTGGAATAGTTGGTGCAATTCAATACGAAAATATAAGATTTTTTTGGTACGAAGTTCCTTTTTGAGACTATTAGGGACTATTTTTCCGTCACTAACTAGCATGGCAGCTGAGTAGGAAGCTAGGTGAGCGAACACTGACGGCGGTGTCTGTGGGCTTAGTTTTAAGAATTATCTAATAGTTTGAAGGAATCAGGGATCGGGGCCATGACCCACCATGCGGCCTCAGTGTAGATTGGTGGATAAGATACTTTTTTATGATATGGGGAGATATTGAGATGGATAGAGGAGGGCAGTAAACCTAATCCACAATGGGCCCAATCCGTACTAAGCCCAATCCGCACTGTGCCCAATCCACTCTGGACACAATCCGTACTAGGCCCAATCAGCACTCGGACTCATCCGCAGTGGGCCCAATCCGCACTGTGCCCAATCCACACTGGGACCCATCCGCAGTGGGCCCGATCCGCACACTAGCGTAATCTTGTCTCATTCAGGGTGTTTTACTTTTTCTTATAATATTTCAGGCATTCGAAAGATTACGTGAACATAACCCAAACTTCAGATCGAAGATAATACCTCTAACTGGCGACATCACGAAGAAATCTATTGGTCTCAGTGAAAATGACATCTTTATTCTTCGTAAAGAGGTTTGTTAATATTTTACTAGAACCTTTACTTCATTTTTAGCTGTATTGATTTATATAAAATTTTATTCAAATATAAAAAATCTGGCAAATTTGTGTAAATTACAAACAACGTTTTGATCATCATTTATTAATTGTGACCATTCTTATAAACCCAATCACGCTACGCTACAACTGTTGTAAGTATTTGAGAAGTTTGGTAGGTATTTGATGCTGCGCCATCACCTAAAGGGTACCATGTCTTGGAAATACTACCAAAGTAAAATTGCACCAAATTCTAAATCAATAGTAACTGTGGAATTGAAAGACCCTCTTCTCAAATGGGAAATGAGCTGCTTATTTCTAACTCCTGAATAGATCTTCATAAATTATAGCTAAGAACCATTTCGGTCATGTCAGCTTTTAAGTAAAAAAAACGCATCGAAATCGGTTAATTCTTTTAGGACCTACGCTGCCACAGGCACATCAAACTAACACACACAAACACACACTTTTTCCGTCGGAGGTTGAAAATGTAATAACTGGATATCACCTTTGTAATAATAATATGTTACAATACAGACAGTCATTCTTACAGATGATCATACCAACTATTATACTATGCTGTAAAAAAGTCCCAATATATCAAGAACAATAATAAATCAAAAATGAAACAAACTTTGGTTGCGTTCGTTGTCAGTTTGTAATAATAACATTTATATCGATTTGTCTTGAAAATATAATATAATTTAATTTTTCCATACGAGTTCTCCATAAACATTTTGATGAGACTCGTTTTTCGTGTCTCTTCTTTCAATAAATAAAAAAAGCGAAAGCGTTATAAAAATGCATGCCTGTCGGAATTTTAGCGCCAGTAGAAAAACCGATCCCTGTGAACAGTTGTTTTTTTAAATATTTAAAGATTTCTTAAAATAAATTAGCCTAGCCCCAAAGGCAGCACTGTAAGGCTTGTGTGGATATTATGGTAACGGATAGAAAACATAATAAAAGTGTATTTTTATTTAGAAATATGTACATATAAACATCCATAACTTAGGTACCTACATGCTCGAATTAATCACTCAAACATTTGCCCCACCGGGATTCGAACCCGGAACCTCATAGTTGGCGATACCTTGAAAACCAGCGTACAAAACACTCTAGCCACGGAGGTCGTCAAATTTGTGTCAATCAATTTTGTGTCGCAATTGGTCACAAGCGTAATATAATATAAGTACTACGTACGTTGTTCACAAGGCGAGCCATACTTGTTCACAACCTTTTTTTTTCTTTCTTTAGATATACACATAATAGTCTTAGGTGTGGCTGGCTGAGATCTCGTTGTTTTGAATAACCGTGGAGTGCAAAGACTTTCTGATAAAATTAATTACTCCTTTTCAATGCGAATTTGTTAAGTTTTTTTTTCAGAATAAGACTAAAAGCCGATCTCAGACACATCAAACTAATTTAATGCCTCATTAAGTTACGTGTTGTCACATGATATTGTTGTTGTTAATAGAATGATAGCATAAACTTTAGTCAAACTTGACCGTAAGTCGTTAAATCTTGCAATAAATATAAATATTTCCAACACTCACACCAATTAGCCTAGCCCCAAAGTAAGCACCTGTGATAAGCACTGTAAGGCTTGTGTTTTGGGATACTAGGGTATCGGATAGAATACATATATTGTACATATATAAATATATTTATATAGAAATATATATTAAACATCCATGACTGGAGTACAAATGCTGGTATTCATCACACAAACATCTGCCCCCACCGGAATTCGAACCTCGAGTCGGCGACACCATGAAACCCAGCGTATAAACCACTCGGCCACGGAGGTCGTCAAAATGTAGTAAGTACATATGGTGAGTGGTGACCAACCCAGTAAAAGCTACGGTTTAATATTTTTTTAAGTCTGAGTCGTTTTTTTTTTAATGTCAGGTATCTGTAGTCTTTCATTCAGCGGCGGATACTTCCTTCCAACTGAGTTTGAGTGAAGCCATTATTATTAATACAAAAGCTACTGAGGAACTTTTGAAAATCTGCAAAGACATGCATCAATTGAAAGTGAGTATGCAGAGGTAATTTGCTTATAGAAACGGAAAGCATTAAAAAACTGTCATTGGCCGTTTTTATGCAGCAAGGCTATTGCCCGCCTGATGCTAAGCGGTCTCCACATCCAATATTAATTAAGTTTCAGTCAGACAGCTGGCGGGGCGGGACGGCAAAACGACGCTGGCTAAGCTAATAAACAGTTGTAATGTATCAGTTATTATGAAATACGTCACACAGCGCCGTTGCGCCAGGCGTGTCCTTTTCAATAAACGAATATTTTGAAATTAGTGATAACCAAAAAGGTTGAATGTGGAAGAAAACAGCGGCGCGCGATCCGCATCTTAGGCGATGAGGAGGTGACTAAACACCTTGAACCTCTTCAATTACGCCGTGACGTGGCGTCTATCGTCTGTACCACGGCAAGTGTTCTGAGGAGTTTTTCTCTCTTATCCCACCTTCCCCTTTCCTTCAGAGGACCACGCGCGCTGGCTTACGTTGTCACCGTCTAACTGTGGCCACAATTCCAACGCGTACAAAGAAATTCGGTGACTCATTTCTTTGTGGCACTATCAGTAAATGGAATGCTCTGCCCGCTCACGTGTTCCCTCCCTCTTACAACCTGGGATCCTTAAAAAGAGGCGTGAAGAAGCAACATGCAGGCCGGCAGGGTGAGGATGGCTGGTGTGGCAGGTAGAACTGCTGTATCAGCTATCTTCGCGTCTGGACTTGACCTTCACTTAACATCAGGTGAGGTGGAGTCATTTGTCGGACCTATCTATAATATAAAAAAGATAATGGTTGCGGCTATGCCATGCCTTGGCCCCTACCCATCGAAGCTCCGGAAACCTAACTCGAGGTTGGACAAATATCTAATTATCAGCATCAGCCTAATAATGTCCCCACTGCTGGGGTACGGGCCTTCCCTATGGATGGCACAGGGAGATTACGCCACGACTCACCACGCGGTGCCAGTGCGGATTGGTGGGTGCTAACGACTGCAGATGCAAACGGAACCAACGGCTTAATTTGATTTTTGCTATTTAATTTGAATCTGTTCTAATTTGCCAGCGATGGGTGCTTCGATTTTATCGATGATTCTCTAAAAGGTAGTATTCTTATTTTACAGGCTTTTGTATACGTATCAACTGCTTACAGTAACTGCAATAGACCTATTATTGACGAAAAAGTATACCCTACCGATGTGAGCCTGGAAACAGTATATGAACTGCTAGAGTATTCCAAGAGTGACAAATTGATTGAATTTTTATTTAGTGAGTAACAAATGTATTTATCAATAAGTTCTATCAGTAAAGAAAACTTCAACTCTTTCATAAAAATAATAACTGTTTAGAAAACTCAAATGTTTATAAATTGCTTCTCTATTTATGCGAGGCTATAAATATAACTGGATAATATGTGGGGATTTCGTAAATTGAACTGAAATTCATTGACAGAAACGTCAAAACGTCAAGTTTAATGACGAGCTGACGATTCCCTTTGCAATGGACCCATCGATTTCAAACTTTTCACTTGATAACGAACTGCAAAAACTCTAATAAGAAAAATTTATTTAAGTATATAAAAATGGGACATGGTTTGATTAATATTTGTAGCAATCAGTTAAAATGCAAACTTTGAGATCTTATCTAATCTAGGTATAAAATTCTCGTGTTTATAGCCAAGCTCTACTGAAACGGCTTGACCGATTCTTATGTTTTTTTTTTCTGTATATTCAGTTAGGGTTGTGCACACTAAACAATTTATTTTTTCTTGTGGATTGAATAGATTTAATCTCTTTTTATGATGATATAAATGACTTTGAACTTTATTTTGATTGACATTATTGTTTTAATGCTTTGTGGTAACTTGATCTGTTACTTGCCGTGTTATTTTCTTTTTGTCAATCGTTGTTGTCAACAACTATAATAATCTAAAATTATGTTTATATATGTAATTTGATAAAGTTTATATCATTTTATTTCTTACTTATTACAGATGGAAGACCGAACGCTTACACATATTCGAAGGCTCTTTCGGAAGAACTAGTACAGAATTACGGCAACATCATACCATCCATCATCATCCGTCCTTCAATTAGTAATGCTATATCTATATCTTATTAATATTTGTTTTTTTTACATTACTACGAAACTTTTATAACAATGTTGGGTTCCAAATAATCTTGAATAGAATACACAAGAGTAACAAGTAAGGCACAGCGGATTTCCCGCTCGAATTAGAGCGCCTGTCTAAGAGGCACCGCCACCTTACAAAAGACCACAGTAAAATAACACTACATTTTGGTGATGTTGTGATTTTGCTGGTGAGTAGGATTCCAGGGCCCCACGGGGTAGGGGATTAGGTTCAGGCCGGCAAAGTGAGGATGCTTGGATCGGCAAACTTTCTGCCGCTACATTTATCTTCGCGACTAGGACTTAGGATAATTTGTTGCGCCCCATTTAAAAAAAAAACAGATATTATTATATCGTATTATATAACTTAATTATGAAAGATCTGTAAATAGACGTATTGTTATAATAGCATTATTATATTTTAGTGGACACATGTGAAATAGAATTATTAACTAATATTTATAGAACATAGAAACGCCTACAAAAATTTAATAGAAAAAGTTAAATGAACGATTAGTACGCACTCTTCTTAAATTGTCACATCTAAGAAGAGTTTTGATTTGGAAAACTACACTTTTTTTCAAAATATATTCTCCTAAATCTGAGGTAAAACCCGACCACAAAATTTTAAAAAGCCTCGTCATATTGCGGCCTACAAATGGAAATAATTCGTCAATACAATGTTATACAGCTATCGTTGTTATTATTCGACTGATTTGTCAATATTATCATTACATGTGCCGTTTGTCCTTGATATGAGAATAAGTGTTTCCTCTTAGTGACCCAATTAGAAGTATGTAAATACTCTTATATCTAGAGAAATTTTGAAAAAAGCACTCGGTCTAGGTTTCAGACAGGCTAGATATTCTTTATATTAATATAAATAATCCAACAGTTTAAAACTTAAAATAAAAATGTTATAAAAGTTTTTAATTCAATTGTAAGAAACCATATTATTTTCAGTCACATCGTCAATAAAGGAGCCGTATCCTGGTTGGTTGAGTGGGTGGAATGGCCTAAATCAAGTGATTCTATCTGGTATGAAGGGATACCTGAGATGTTGGTTTGCGGATGATTCGTGCATCGCCGATACGATTCCCGTGGACTATATAGCCAATGTCATGATTGTTTCAGCGTGGGATGCACATGAGAGAAGGTACTGTTCATATAAATCGTATCATTTTAACGATAGTAACGAAGGAAAGAAATTAATGAATGATACAAATAATAATAATTCTAATGAAAATAAAGGTAACGCTTTAATAAAAAAAGTTTGAAATCTTTATCATCGAATGAAGATATATTAGGACTTCATGATACTAATCACTTAAACGATAAGAAAGAATTGAGGCGAAGTATTTTTCCAGTTTCTACAGTATAAGCAACGCGACAATTTATTACAGACAATATGAGATGGTTATTACAATAAAGCTGATTAGAATGATGATTTTTGATTAGCAAATAAACTGAAGGTTTTCCTTTTTCTAGGTTGAAAAATGACAAGCAATTAAAAGTATTCAACTGCTGTTCCGGTCTTCAGAATCCAATAGATACAGGAAATATGATGTCGATTTGTTTGGAACATAATAAAAAACATGAAAAAGGTATTTTGTTTACAGAATGTACCCGTATATACCTACTTCTTAGATTTCATCTCTCCTGAATTGGTTTTTAACGGATAATTTTTAGTAATTAGAAAAGAAGAAAACTTATTCCTATTTCAGATTCAATTTTTTTTGCTTTAATACTATGTTTAGTCAACTCATTATAAAATAAATCAGTGAAATGCGCTAAAGAATTTATTGGCATATTGTTTGAAGCTAAACATAAAACTTGGACTTACTAACTACTAAATAACTCTAAACTACTAAATAGCTCCTAAAAATAATGTGAATACGTAATTTTAGGAACGTCTTAAAAATTTTCTTTGGGAAAGATAATAAAATTCTTCCTTTTTTTTCAAACTATACTATAGTTGCCCTTTTAATAAATTACAACGAAGACAGTTAAAACAAAATGGTTTTTGCTGATTTTTTCACTCTCTTTTCACTTATTTTGAATCCTATCTAAAACAAACGCCTTACAAATTTTATGTAGTATTGATATTTTTTCAAACCAAACCAAAATTTATTTTGTAATGGGAAATTTAAGCTTGGACAACATTTTGCTAGGTGTCGCTTAGGTAAAGGTTGGTGCAAACGTGTATAAATTATTAAGGATAAAACTGTGTACAATAACTTTTTTTTCTGTTCCAGATAAATCTAAAGCAAACACGATGTTCATAATTCGTAAAAACTTTTACGTTTACTTTTTTTATTTTCTGGTTCTGCATTTGATACCTGCTCTTATAATAGATGTTTTTTATTTTCTATTGGGAAGAGAAATGTTGTAAGTATTCCTTTTCATTACTAACGTCAAAAGAATTTATTAAGTTCAATAAGCTTTAGTATATTCAGAACATTATACAAAATTAACAGTGTTTGCCGACATGCCAAACACTTTGCCACTAATTCCTTCACTTTGTGGAGATTTGGCTATCTTTCAAACTCAGTTTTAACTATTCATTAACTTTTTTCAGAATGTGCACTAATTTGAAGAAGATCAAGCGTTTTTCGTCAATATTGAAGGTTTTCTGCTTCAACCAGTTTCTATTCATAGACAAAAACGTTAGGAGGTTACATCAAGCCTTGAACGAAACAGATAAAGTTCTGTTCGACTTCGACGTGAGAAATATACAATGGAGAGTTTACCTTAAAGACTTTGTAATCGCTTTGAAGGAATACGATAAAACATCAAGGACCGTTAAAATTTAGGAAATAATGTAATCGATGGGAAACTCAAATAAACTATTTATTCTGCTGTATTATATTATGTAGACATTGTTGGTGTCCAGGTGAATGATATCCACCTATATTTTAATCTCATATCTCTCATTACAAAGTTGTTAATGCCGTAGAATACACACGATAGGTATACAGGTGTTGATTTTTTATTTCAAAAATTTTTATTTTCCTTGCGAGAGCTACATAAACATTTAGGTACGTCGATATCGATGCCATGTATTTAATGTTGTCGACTATTTTACAATGTAATTATGAAAGGTCCGTATACCCTAGCAAGGCCAAAAAAACATTACCTTACTAAAAACATTCACAAATCATGGAAATATGACCACTTACTTTATGGTTATGAAAACCTACTGAAAAGTTTTATGTTTATTATGAAAGTATAGTACAACTTTATTGTTTATACAACATTTATTTATTTATTTTTTTATTTATTTATCATCAACAAGTTTCAACAGCGTTTTACACAATATAATCTAATATAAAATTTTAAACGGTACTTTAGCCAATTACAGAAACTCACTTTGTATTCAATTTAAAAATTAAAATGATAACGTAGGGTAGAAATTACAAATTAACAATAATATAAAAGAAATACCAACAAAGATTCAAATTAATTTTGCGATACATTATTATGAAAGCCCAGTAAAACATTATTTACAGTACAATAATAGAGTCATAATCATATTGTAAAATAGTCAACAACATTAAATACATTGCATCGATACCGACGAACGAAAAAAATTACAATTAAACATTCACCTGGACACCAACAACGTCTTTATAATATAATACAGCAGAACAAATAATTTATTTGAAATTTATGTAGCTGGCAACATTTACGTCTAATCATTTTAAAAATATACAAGTGTGGGATGAAAATTTAAGACTTTTATTTTACTGTCTCCATAAAGAGAAATGCCGTGGTTATTTTGAAAGAAATCAGGAAAAGATATTTTTTGTTCAGTGAACTATTTTTATTATTAACAACATTTTATAAAATAATAGTTTATGCGACTGTCATAACAAGAAAGGGTTTTAAAACATGAGAGTCTGTCGAGTGTTTTAATACCAAAATTATATGCAATTGCATATACTACTTTATCTTTACTCATAGGAACAATAGGGGTGATGACGGGGTACAGTAAACGAAATTCTTTTTAGTCCGTCAGTTAGATGATCAAAAAATAATAGACACATTTTTTTCTTTGGGCAATCAACCAAAAAATGACAAAGTTATAGCGCGTCAAAGTTTGGGAGTAGGGGCTTTTGAGTGAATTTTCACTTATAAGTGTACTCAAACGTGACGTCATGCGACTTTTCAAATCAATATATCTCTGCAATGTTTATATTATGTGAAAAAAGAAAAAATACGTGTCCAATACTTTTTGATAATCTACCTGATAAACGAGGAAAAAAATTAATCATCATCCCTATTGAAATTAAACAAAGTGGCTAGGTAACAAAAAAGTATTTTTCGTATCACTTGCTCAAAAAAGTGACATTCTATGCCACAAAAAGTGAACATAACAATAGTCATTTTTAATCTGTTAAAAACAGGGAATAGTTATTTATTATACAAGAGTGGAAAGTTCCTTTTTAACCGCGTGCTCGATTTGGATGACCGAGCAAGCGAAGGATTCTAAAGTTGAATCACGAGCGCAGCGAGTGATTCTAAATTAGAATCCTGAGCGTCAGCGAGGGAAACAAACGAGCACAAGGTGAAAAATCTTTCCACTCGAGTGCAATACGTAACTTTTCATCCCACCTCAGCGAGGAAATGACAAAATGAAAAAGAAAACAATTTATAATGACAAAATATTTTTATTTCAATTAAAACACATTAAGATAATCTATAAATTGAAGAAAATAATAAGAAGTAGAAAATAATTAAGAAATATTAAATGTAACGTTGCTACAGTTACTTATGTTAAGTTTAATATTTTTGTTAGGTAATGTTATGTTGGTGTTTGTGAATTGTGCGCTGTTTTGTGGTAAACTACTCGTATCAGTAATTTTAAATAGTTGTGCCGATTCATTGGATTCTATTGGCGTAAATGTTGGCGAGAGAGGGCTATTGTTTCCAATCTTATGGGGGCTCATTTTAGATGTAGAAGGGCGAGACCAAGAATCTGACAGAGGTTCTTTCAGCGTTATGGCCTCCACGATACTATTACAAATTTTTGATTTACTTTGGATTGAATCCTCTATGTATCCCTCTACAACCGAATTAGACTTCCAGCCTCCATGGCGCTTAAGCGATAGAAGATCAGCCCCTGATTCGGCCAAAAGTGTGGCTGAGGTTCTTCTAAAACAGTGACCGGTGTTGTATAACGGGGGTTCTAAAAGTCCGAGAAAAGTTGCTATTTCTCGTGGAATACTGCCAATTTTATTCTGACCCATAGGTTGTCGGATACACTTTCCGTTGCGATATTGTAGAAAAAATCGTTCAATTGGGGTGTTAGAAGGACGTAAAGCTTGATATTTCTGAACAATGTTTACATATTCCTTGCGAATAACGAAGTTGCGGTCTTTTTTTGTCTTGGTATTTAGTACATTAATTAATAGCAATTCATCAGAATTATGAGAATATTTTGATACGTTATTGACATTAAGTAGTGTAAGTTCATTTGTTCGACATGCTCCGGTTATACCAATAATAAGAACAACCTGTAACAAAAGAAGTATTTATAATCGTAAATAAATTAATCAAATTAAAAATATTGTAAGTACTATGTACAATTTTATCAACAACAAAAAATTACACGTATTGACTTACTTTTGCCGCTAAATATACGGAATCAGGTGCTTCATTAATAAACTTTGCAATTTCAGATGCTGTGAAAACCTTCGATTTTTTTGGTTTATAACCAGATGAGGCTCTTTTTAAAAATGCCACTAATTTATGATAGGTGTCGATATGAACGTCTTTCTTCATCTTAATTGTTAATTTTAGCATTGAATACGTACTCCATAGCGTGCTTGCTTTCTTGGTCTCAGATAATTCTATAAAATATGCCAGCAAAACGTTTTCGGAGAAAGTTTTTGCTCCTTTAGCTAGTCGCCACATGTTAAATATATCGTACTGTTTCAAATACTTCTCTCGTGATTGCTGAGGGAGAAGGCTCATTTGCGCATTATTAACTGTTTCAGTTAACTCAGTTGGCGTTAGATAAACTTCATCGTCGCTAATGTCACTCATTTTAGTTGATTTTTTTGTACAGTTTTTAGGTTATGTTAATTATATTAAGCAATAAAACGTGAAAAACTAGAATGGCGCGAAGCACGCAAATAAAACAAAGAAACCAAGAAGGTTCCAAATTTAAATTTTTTCACAATTTAAAAAGTTCTAATCATAAATTTGGCACCATAGAGGTTACATTAAATAGGTTTAATGACGTTTTGAATTTACAATTATATTGAGTACTCATTATATGTGATGTTCTAAATTCAAATCTACTTTGCCGCTCAAGCGAATAAAATAGAATTTTCCAGCCAGATTTCGAAGCGCAAAATTACACTTTCCGAGGTGGTGGGATGAAAAGAAAATTATACTGAATTTCATTCATCCTCTAGGGGGAGAATGTGATTTAAATTCAGAAACTTACCGAAATTTATACTGAACTACATCTGTGTTTACACCATTGAGTTTGAATATAAAGTATTATACATCTTTTTGAAAAAAGAATACGCATTTATTGTGTAGTTATGATTATTAAATAAAATTACAAAAACCGACGAGGCCGTATGACCTTGATGCCTTTGATTTTCCGACAAAAAAATATTAGTGGAGGAATTTGCTGCGTTTTTGTTTTCTTCAAATACATTTTTTTTATTTTAATTTATTTTTATAAATAAGTTAATGTTCTAATACTACGTTACGATGTTAAATGAAAGCGACAGTGACAGTGAATTGTCGGATTTCATTAATGCAAATGCGGCCGCAATTATAAATAATTTGCTTCCAACAAAATCCAAGGAAAATTATTTAAAAACTTATGAAGAGTTTACAACGTGGAGAAGTGCGAAAGGCCTATCAATTTCAGAATCAGTACTTCTTGTCTATTTTGATTATTTATCCAAGACAAAGAATCCGAATACACTTTGGTGCATATACTCAAAACTGAAAGCTACAATAAGCATCAAACACGGCATTGAAATAAATAGATTCACGAAATTACTGGCTTTTAAAAAGAAAATCAGAAGGGCATTGCGCAAAGAAGTCTAAAATTTTTACGACTCAAAATATGGAAAAATTTCTTATTGAAGCTCCTGACGAAATTTTTCTGGCTACAAAAGTATACATGATTTAACTATGAATATTTCGTATCTTAGTAATGGTAATTATTTTATATATTTACTTGCTTTTTATATTTGTTATAGGTGGCCTTAATTTTTGGACTCAATGGTACTTGCCGCGGATGTGAACTTGTAAACTTAAAGGTGGAGGACGTTGAAAATCATTCCAATGAGTTACTGCTGATTAATGTAAAGGAAACTAAGACAAAGAAAAAACGGTCATTCATTGTACAAGGACAATATACTAAAATCATTCATAAATAACAAGCATTACGTCCCACCAACATGGAAAACAATAGATTTTTTATAAACTATCGGAATGGGAAATGTACTCGACAAGCCATCGGCAAAAATAAAATTAGCAATATGCCAAAGGAAATTGCGAAATATTTAAAACTTAAAGATGTTGAACACTACACCGGTCACTGCTTTAGAAGAACTTCGGCGACTTTCTTGGCGGATTCAGGGGCGGATATTACGTCAACAAAAAGACACGGTGGCTGGAGCTCTGATAGGGTAGCTGAGGGTTATATCGAAAGCTCAATGGCGAATAAAACCATATTAAGCAGGCAAATTAACAAAAATATAAAACTTAATCCATCAGAGCCACAACCATCAACTTCCGGCATCTTATCTTCGTCCGTAACTCACGATGCACCACCACTACTATCTCCGACGTATACTATCTACAATGAAACGCAAGTTCCTCAGACGCAAGAACAGAGAAATACTCAAATCAACTCATCAACAATAAATGTACCAAACAAAAATGTAACTCTCTCTATCAATAATTGGACCAATGTTTCGAATGTTAACTTTTACTTTTAATTGTCATTATTTTTAATAAATGCTTATCTCATATTATTATCGTGTTAATTTTTTCGTAAAGTAGAGTATTTTCTTCGGTGATAAAGCTGTCTTATTCTTGGGTGAACTTAAATCCCTCGCTATACTCAGGACTCGTCTTAAATCCCTCGCTTCGCTCGTAATTTGAGTTTTTAACACCCTCGCTACGCTCGGGAGTAAACCTCGAGTCCTTCGTTACGCTCGCGATTTAAATCGTCACCCGCGACAGAAGATACTGCTTTATCCCCTTGGTTAATAATCTACTCTTACAAAACTTCTGAAATCCCGTAAACATACAACGCGATCGGCAGAAAAGTGTATGGAAAGCGCGGGAAATTACGTTCAAACTACGCATGCGTGCGTTTTTTTTCACATTCGGCCTAATACCAAAGCCTATTCATTCTAAATAACAATGTAAAACTTTAATGATTAAAAAGTTATTTTACGATACAGCTAGCAGCACTCTTATGAGTTTTTTTTTTTATATGCATATCATGTTAAGCAATTAAGAATTGTTTTTTTGTCTATATGTGGCGAAAAGCTTTTATCTTTCACACATGCAAATTGTAGGCGATGTTATTCTAGAAAATGTCTATCTATTTATCAAGTGTTAGTTCAAATTAGTTCTCAATACCTAAATAGAACAGTTCGCTAGAACTTGAATTGCACACCATACCACCCGCTCGCTCAAAGTTAAGCGTTTCAAAAGCTAGCCGCATTGCAATATGAAT